TATTGCCTAGAATTGCTTTTGCTATTCTAGGTATCTTCTTGTTCCAAATGAATTTTTGGATTGTTTTCTCCAGGTCTGTGAAGTATGCTGCTGGGATTTCAATTGGGATTGTATTGAATCTATATAGCGATTTTGGAAGGATGGCCATTTTCACTATGTTGATTCTTCCTGTTCAGCAGCAACAGATGTCTTTCCATTTTCTGATATCCTCCTCAATCTCTTTTTTCAGAGTGCTATATTTTTCAGAGAAGAGGCCTTTAATTTCTTTTGTTAGGTTGATTCATAGATATTTCAAGTTTTTGGAGGCTATTGTGAAAGGAATTGATTGTCCCATTTTTCTCTCAGTGAGTCTATATTTTCTTTACAGAAAAGCTAGGGCTGGGGATTTAGCTCAGTGGTTTCGCCGCCTGCTGCACAGGTGCAAGGACCCAAGTTTGAGCCCCAGTACCAAAAAAAAAAAAAAGCTGTCAATTTTTGTGTGTTGACCTTCTATCGAGCTACATTACTGAATTTCATTATTAAGTCTAGAAGACTTTTGGTGGAGTTCTTAGGGTCTTCTATGTGGAGTATCATGTCATCTGCAAATAATGACAATTTGATTTCCTTGTTTCCTATCTTTATTCTTTTTATTTCTATCTCTTGTCTAATTGCTGTGACTAATGTTTCCAAAACTATATGGAACAGGAGTGGTGATAGCGGACATCCTTGTCTTGTTCCTGATTTTACTGTGAAGGATTTCAGTTTTTGATAATTTAGTATGATATTGGCTGTTGGTTTTTCATAGATTGCTTTTATCATACTGAGGTAGAGTTCATCTATTCCAATTTTTTTTTAGCATTTTTATCGTAAATACATGTTGGATTTTGTCAAATGCATTTTCTGCATCTCTTGAAATGATCATATGGTATTGTCCATGGTTCTTTTAATATAGTGTATTATGTTTATTGATTTGCATATGTTGAACCATCCCTGCATCCCTGGGATACATCCCACTTTGTCAGGGTGTCTGATTTTCTTAATGATCTCCTTGATGATCTGCATTCTATTTGCCAGTATCTTATTTAGGATTTTTGCGTCTATGCTCATTAGTGAGATTGTCCTATAGTTCTCTTTTTCAGTTGGGTCTTTCTCTGCTTTGGGGATCAGGGTGATGCTTGCTTCTAGGAATGAATTTGGGAGTATTGCTTCCCTTTCAATTTCTTTTTTTTTTTAATTAAATTCTTTTATTGGTACATTGTTGGTATACAACACAATTACATTTCTCATTGGGAATTGTACCTTTACATAATGCATCTTGGTT